TTTTTTAAGTGTTTTTGTGTCATTTTGAAGCTTGATAGCCACATTCTCATTCACTTTAGTTATATTAAAAAGCTTGGTCAGACATTTGTTAAAAAATAGAGACATGGGGGTGAATAAAAAATAAATTTTTGAGTTTTCTTCGCAAACTCCTTTGGTCTTTCTCTATTTAACACCTGTTTTCTGCCCTTTTTGGTTTCAACGCTGATTCTTCCCCACTTTCTGCTTTCCTGTTTTGTGCTATGTCTCAGGCTAACACTCATCCTGTCTTGTCCCATGGACTTGAAGAATTTCCCAATGGACATTCAGACCTGTACCATGCAGCTAGAAAGCTGTGAGTACTCTATACTTCTCTTCCTCTCTCTCCCTCCCTCATCCTTCCTTGCCCTTCTCCTCTTCACACTTTGCTGCATTCAATTCTTCTGACACTGATATGGAGTTTAAATGTATGCACTAATAGCCACAATCACCATGAAGGTGAAACACAGTGAACATACTTAAAAACCATTGTTGCATAAGGTGAACATATACTGTACATTACCGTTATAAATTTTGGGAACGGAAATGTTTTTGAAATATGTGTCTTATGCTTATCAAGCCTGCATTTATTTGATCAAAAATACAGTAAAAATATTATTACAATTTAAAATAAATTTTATATATATATATATATATATATATATATATATATACAGTATATATATGTGTGTGTGTGTGTGCACGTGTGTTTAAAAATATACTTAATGTACGTAAAATGTAATATAATTTAAAATATATTTTAAAATGAATTAATATCTTTAAGGAAACCGCAACACATTTTCTTTAACGATAGTTTAAACCAACAGAATTCATTTGAAATAGAAATATTTTGTAATAATATAAATGTCTTTATTGTCACTTTTGCTCAATTTAATGCTTTTTTTTAATCTTTTGAAATGTTAGTGTATACCAGGAACGGTTGCCATTAACAGATCCTGTTAAGATGGTAATTGCAATCCACTGCTTGTCTATTTACACTTACAAACCTGGTAACCTTAAGCATTATGGGATTTAAAAAAAAATCTGCAGAAACTGAATAACTCAGTTTTCTATGTCTCACTGTACAAAAAGAAGAAGAATTGGCTAGAGGAAGTATCAACAACACAGCATCCTCATTTTAAAATTGTGTGTAAAGTGTCCTTCCTTATTACATTGATAAAAGAAAGAGGGAGTCAAAGAAATAGACCATTCACCACCCCAGAGCCCTCAGAGTAGATAGCATCTTAACTCCTGGAACCAATATAAAGGATATCAATAATGAAACTTTCATTTTATGTCCCCTTTATTATGTGACCCACCTCAGCTGCCCGAGAGGCTTTTAATTCCGCCTTCCTGAGACAAAAGAACACCCATTTCTAACCACCAGAAGAGCCAAATGAGGAATCTGTGTAATGCAGAAATGCAATGCAGATGCCACTTAGCTGGACATCTGGATTTGGCAGTTGGATTATTTGATTTGAATCCCCATTTACGTATTATGACGGCAGACATCACCTGATATATATTCATTCAACATTCAGTGACTCATATGGTTTAAAAGATTTAGGGGGCGTACTACACCCAGACAGTGTGTTTAACTGTCCTTTCTGCGTCCTCTGTATGTCTACAGAATTTATTCAATGAGTGGAAAAATCCCTCCTCTGTGGCTGCAGTTAAAATTGCCCTCCTCTAAGGAGTAGGGTCAGACAGAAAGAGACACACACAGGAAGACAGGCAGGTTTACTGCCTAACAAAGCAGTTACGGAGGGCATAATCATTTCCGATTAGACAAGAGCACCTTTTTTAGGGCTTTGAAAGGGCCCACTGAAAACCGTTTTGACAAGTGTTAGGACACAGCCAAGGGGTGGGATAACCTTGTCTGGAAAGGACACATCCTGGTACAAAAATCTGATGTTGAAGGCAAGAGGTATAGATTAAAGCTATGACCGTTTACACAGTGTACAAAATATGGGATAAGAGAGGAAGCATGACAGGTCCAATTCACACTCTTCTTTTTCACAGTTGGCTACACCATGAACGATCTGATCTTCGAGTGGCTTTCTGATAGCCCTGTGCAGGTGGCGGATGACTTGACACTTCCTCAATTTTTACTAAAGGAGGAAAAAGATCTTGGCTACTGCACTAAGCACTACAACACAGGTACACGTTTCACCATGACCTTTATGCACATCAAAAAAACATCATACACACTGTGGCATATATAAATGATTTCAAGGTCCTCTTATGAATTTTCAAATGCATTAAATGGTGTCGCCAAAACATAAACCTGCAATACGATTATTAAATATACTCCACCAGAAGTAATTCCAGACCAGAGGTACTTAATCAGGTGTAAAAAATTCATTAAAAGTTGCTATACATAATTACTTACCTATTATGAAATTCTTTGTGATATCATAGGTAAATTCACCTGCATTGAGGTGAAGTTTCACTTAGAGAGACAGATGGGCTACTATCTCATTCAGATGTACATCCCCAGTCTGCTGATTGTCATCCTGTCTTGGGTGTCTTTCTGGATCAACATGGATGCCGCCCCTGCTCGGGTAGGCTTGGGTATCACCACTGTGCTGACCATGACCACCCAGAGCTCCGGTTCACGAGCCTCTCTACCCAAGGTAACATAACCAAAATGACTCAGTTCCTGTGAGAAGGGGGTGGGGGGCGACACAAACAAAACAGAGAAACACTTCAGAAAGTGCAGTTAGAAAATAATGAGACAATCAGTAAAAATAAGGAAAAACACGAGAGCAGAGAGAGGTGGCTTGAAGTGCTAGGCTATTTGTTAACGTAGCAGGAAAAGGATGGAAGTGCACTGATTCTGTTTCAGGATTCATTTACTAAAAAACCTGATTCCTCTTAACAATTCCAATTCCTTAACAGTTACAAAAACAGTTCTTAAAACACGTCGACATATACGGAAAAACAAAATGCAATTCTTAGGCTGATGATACACAGGACAACATTTTGAGCAATTTTGTCGGGCATCTTTTTTTGAGCAATGTTGCTTTGACCTTAAAATCTACCTGGTGGCAAAGTCCACAAAAGTCCTCCACATAATCCTTAATGTCCCGGTTTCCTTGGCGAAGTCGAACGAGACGATCTGCTGGGTTCATTTTGGGGGTCGTGTATTCTGTAAAGATCAATCCACTGAAGGCGAGCGTAAGTGAGAACCCAAGTGCAGTTTATTTACAGAGTGATCCAAACATTCAAACAATAATCCAAGACTTGACTTGACTTGACTTGACTTGACTTGACTTGACTTGACTTGACTTGACTTGACTTGACTTGACTTGACTTGACTTGACTTGACTTGACTTGACTTGAACAGACATAGCATGAGCAGACTTGACACAAACAGACTAGACTCACCAACAGCGGGTTAAATACATTCAATACACGATGAGGGCACAATGGGAACATGAAGCTACTTATAGGAAACAAGAGGGTCACATGACAAGAACAAACCAATGGGAAACAAGACACATGACTAAGACAACCAATCAGAACATGACACATTGAACAGGGGAACCAATGGCATGAATACATGAGGGCAAGGGAAGAATGACACAAACAGGAACCATGAAACAATTACAAAATAAAAGACATGGAAAACATGAACATGAAACAAAACACCACCTTACACTCCCTTTAAGAATGAGCGATTTCTCCTCCCCCTCCTGCCTTGGAGATCTAGGCGGCCATTACTCTTCGTCCCATTCTCTCCAGCCAAGAAAGTCTTTGGTCTGAATGATCAATCTGGGTGGTATCGATGCATGGGTCACTGGCTAAGAGAGCTGTTAGGCTGATGGACCAACTACTAGCCAGAATTAATCAATACAACAAATCCTTGGCTTTATCCTGCCTTAATAACACTATAGACAAATTAGGCCACATGTTCCTGCTCAAGAAAACACAAACAGATGGGTGCTGAGAGGATGGTGCCTGGTTCAGAGATGCACAAAACCACACATTTTTGGGAAATTAACCAGTTGTGGGTTGCCAGACTGACTAGTCAACTTATCAGACATATAATTAGACTGGTTTCTGATTCATGCGATGCCTTTTTTTAGGGGGAGGAACCATTATATTTGTATTGTTTATACATATTATATTATTCATTCATATTTTGAATTAGCTTTTATATTTTATATTTTCATTTTTATTATATATTTCTATTTAGCTTTAATTCATTTTTATTTTATAAATTTTAATACTCATTTCAAATAGTTGCCAAGGCAACATTTTAAATTTTCGTTTAAGTTTTTCCATTTAATATTTATATTTTATTTCATCTTTATTTCAATAACCTAAACAATTTTAATAGTTTTACTGACGACGCTGTGTGCTTCGTTGTGAAAGCGAAACTACTTTGTTTGGTCTTCCAAAAGAGGACGATATCCGCTTCGTCATGCCTAGAGCTGATCCGTGCTGATCGCTGAGGGAATACATCAACTTAGTGCTGTTGATCGCCGGATCGGCTTTCACCGCTCCTTCGCCGGGACCGCTGTTCTCGACCCCACCGCCTCAGCTCACTCTTGCCCGGCTTCAGCTCACGCTAAGCTGGGGCTTTCGCTCACGCTAGGCCGCTGTGTTTTTCGTTGTGAAAGCGAAACTACTTTGTTTGGTCTTCCAAAAGAGGAC